AGGAGTGGTTTGAAAGTTACACTTTACACACCTATCTAAGTGTTAGTCGGATGATAACAGCTAGCAGTTGAGGTAAAGGGATTAGCTTAAATGCATGTGTGGCTGCTAAAGAGTTAGCGTTGGCTACACGCGGTTCTTTGTTTACACAAAGGTCTGTGAAGTGGGTGCTGTTGTCAGATTAACTGGAAGAGTCTGCTCACACTTCCGGGGTCACGTGTTGCTAGGTGACCAATGCACACTCACACCAGGTGCAAGGAGATCAGAAATTGCACTGCTTTGAACATGCATGGGAAACTCATGCGGGGCATAACAGTCAGTTATGACATGTCCCATACAACTTCATTCACTAATCAAAACAGCACATTCACTTCACAGGCAATGGTGGATTCGTAGTTAGCTATGCTAGAATAACACCATTAATTTTACATAAATGTTTCACATGAATGAATCAAAATGAAATACAATGATACGTAACACATAATAAGGCCTTAAATTAGTGAAATGAGGAGCATCACTCAGATCACCTACACAGTGCTGAAAAAGGGGATTTCTTCGCCCAAGATCAGACTGATTTATTCTCGTACCATTTATATGGGCTGCCAATCTGAGATTTATCCGTCAGAAAAGGCGTACCCTCTACTAACAACAGAAATTAGGATTTCTTCGCTAAAATCGGGTTAGTTTCTTATCGTACGACTTAAACACATTATAGCACTGAAAACTCTCTACTGCTTGTAGGAAGGCACATTCAAGCTATAGTTTTATCTGATTTTGATCAAAAACTGGTATGCGCATGTATAAGAAGTTCCTAAAACTTATGAGACAGACACATAAAATTGATTACTGGGTTTGCTTGCAAGCAATGTTTAAAACGACGCCACCATTCTAAATTACTGCTAGAACTGCTTAAAGTAGGAACTATTATTTTCCTGGCCATGTGAATGCTGGGATTTTTCTGGCTAGCTTGTCAAGGTCTCTGGGGGTCACATCATGCGCTGCTGCATGGATGCTTGGAAGGGACCCCCTCCTCTCTGTGGTTGCTGGAGGTATTATGGTTCTGTCTGCTGAGTTGTTAAGCAGAAAGTGTTGGCTCCCCCCTTCGTAGCTTGGTGCACCTGAGGGAGTTTGCACTGCTGAGTGAGGATGCAGGAGTAGGGTGTCTCTCCCACTGCGTTTCCTTTTGCAGCCTATAAGAGTACCTGAGTTCTCTTTGGACCATGTCAAGTTTGTCTTGAGTGTTGTTCAGCTGCTGGATCAGAGCCTCAGTTCTGGCAACTTTGTCTAAGAGCTCAGAATTTGCTGCTTTAATAGTATTTTTGTGTGGGAAAGTTTCCTTTCCAGGTCCTTTCTGGCTACCTTTTCCCAGTGCTCTTGCTGTTCAGCAGCTGTCAGAGCCTTTTGAAGTCTATTGATTTCCTCCTGTAACTCCATTCTGCTGGGGTCCTTGTGGGCTACCGCTGTGATCTGTTGCTTGAGATCATTTACCTCCTGTTTCAGACCCATGAGGCTGTGGGCCAGGAAGAGGATGATCTTGGTGAGCTCTTTGTAGCCATAACTCTTG